CAAGACATGGCTTTTTCAACAAGCGGGACTGACCTAGGGTGAATTTTAAATAGGGAATAATTTTTAAAAATTTTCAAAGATTTTAAATATGACACAGCTATTAATATATTTGCTTTTTAATTGGTTTTATAGGGGAAATGTTTTTTGTTTTGTTTTTTAACATGCTGTGAGCCGCCCTGAGTCCCTCTGGGGAGAAGGGTGGCATAGAAGTTTATGAAAATAAAATAAATAAATAAATAAATGTGTGTTGCCCCCAGCCTCCGTTTTGCCATCAGAGGCCTTTGGAAAGGCCTCTGCAGCTAAGAAATGAGCTCTGGATTGACATGCGTGGCGCACCCCCCCCCCAGCTTCCATTTAGCTGTCAGATGCCTTCCGGAAAGGCCTCTGACGGCGAAACGGAAGGCCTCTGATGGTAAAACAGAGGCTGGGGGCGATGCACGCAAACAGCTGCAGAAGAAGTGAGCCGGTGAGGCAGGTGTCGGGGCATGGGAGGCCTGGCTGCAACTGTCCTAAGGTAAGTGGGTGCGGGGCACATGGGGCAGCTCCATCACCCCATCCCTGCCCTAGCTTGATTTTTACCTATGTGCCTCGCCCCACCTCATGCAACCAGGTGCAATGGAGTGGGCAGGGTCTTAAGTAGGGCTTATTTTGGGGGTAGGGCTTATATTGGGCACACATGTAAAAATCTAGCTAGGTCTTATTTTCAGGAAAACACTGTACATTCTTGTTCAAATCTAATCTGCTGCCTCTCAACTACTACCTCCCATCTGGACACCACTCTCCAAACTAATTAAAGGAATTGCACTTCTTCAGATGCTCCTAGCTAGTTTCCAGGAACAGAATCCATAACTCCCAACTTTGAATCTGTTGGGATGCTTGGGCATGTGTCCAAGTAAGAGCAACTGCAGATCCATATTAAGCTTCTTCTTGAAACATGAAGCAACCAGATACTAATTTACACATGTCTCATAAGAAGTAGCCGGATAGGCTGTAGTTGAGTATATATGTAATATGAGAC